GAAGTCAGGCAGGGGAAGCTTCCTGGGGCTGCGACCCCTCAGAAGCTGGAGATGCTCTCAGAGGGTGGGGGCACAGAATGAGGAAGTGTGTGGAAGCAGAGGTGCTGGGTAAGGGGCGGGACGAGGTCAGGGTGACGTGAGGTGGGGCTGGGGACAGAGAGGCCATGGCTGGCCTGGCTATGAATTGAGGCTTTAGCAAATAGGTTTTATCTCCCTTGTCTACCACAATCGATCCGCTGGCCATGCCTGCCTAGAAGGGTTTTGAGGCCAGAGGATGGCTCAGCAAGAGAAAGTGCTGTGATTGACTAGTAATGGCTGCCAGGGACAAAGCCTGGCAGAGTAGCATAGCTTTGTCCTCTAGTCTGTGTCCTCAGGCTGGCCCCCAGGGGCTGGGCACGCAACAGAGAGAGGCACACTCTCAGGTGAGCTGTGGGGGCTGCACACGGGGAGGTTGGCTAAGGGCCCACTCGGCCACTGCGGGGGGCTGGGAGAGGGAGGGATTACGCTGGTCTGGTTCCCCTCCGAGGTCCCAATTCCCAGTTCCCTTCCCTGCACACTCCCTGGCCCAGGGCAGGAAACAGTTGGGCGCGAATGGTGGGGAGGCCCCACAGCGGCCTGGCTCTCCTCACTTCTTCTCCTCTGCCTTCTCCAGGCAGCCCTGGGGAATTCCATCCTGCCAGGTCTTGTTCTCTGCTTATCCTGGGTGTGACCCTCTCCCACCTGCTCCCCAGGGCTCTGTCCTCCTAGCCCTCTGCCCCACACACCTGGGCAGGGCAGGGAGGAGGAGGAACAGGCACGTGGCTCCCCAACCTGAGAGCCGTCCCGGGCTCATAGCGTCCGCATGTTGCACTGCCATCACCCAGGGCCTGGCGGCGCCCTGCTGGAAGGAAGGCAAGGGCAGAATTTGGTTCCGTTCGGAACCTGTCACCGCAGAGATCCCAGCAATAGCGGAAGAGACAGGGTGAGCCCAGGTGACTGGAGAGCTGGGGAAGGGGAACGTGGATCCTCCCAGACCGTAACAAGCCCTCTGGGCTACCTATCTGTGGGTACTCCTCCAACAAGAGTGGCAAATGCCCAGACATACAGGGTCTGTGTGTACACAGACGGAGGGCGTGTGCAGCTAATGGAGGGTGTGTGTGCACACGTGTATTGTGTATTTCTGCACACACACGTTCTGCCTGTGAGCATATGTGGATACAGCGTAGGTCTATGTGTGCTTGGGCCTGTATTGCATGTGTCCTTATACGAGTGTGTATACACGTACAAGCTCAGGCGTGCACAGCCAGAGCTCTGTCCAGGGCAGGAGAGTTGCCAGGCCTTTCATGGTTCACTCCTGGCCTGGTTCAGACATGACCTGTTCTGACTGCAACCCAGGCAGGGACCTCACCAGGGGATGGGGAAGAAGCTGTCCCAAGGTTCTGGGACCAACCGAATGACCCCCAGTCTGGGTCTCAGGCACAGATGGGCTGGAGTCCCCAGGACTCTCCCCAGCCCCTGCTCAGCTCTCATGGTGGGGTGTGTAATTGATCACCATTGCAAACTGCCCTCCTGCAAGCAGCAGGAGCCCACCCTGAATTTGTGTTAGCCTCCTTAGGATAGGAGGACAAGGAACAGACCCTCCTCCCCCCCTCTCCCTCTGGCATGTGCTGTTCAAAACATGTTGGCCCATCTCTAAGAGATCCATGGACACCAGTGGGAAAAGGAAAGTCTGCTTCCAAGATGCTTAAATTATTCTCTTTTTTTAAAGATTTTACTTGAGAGAGAGAGAGCGAGATAGAGAGAGAGCATATGCACAAGTAGAGGGGAGGGGCAGAGGGAAAGGGAGAAGCAGGCTCCCTGCTGAGCAGGGCCCTGGGATCATGACCTGAGCCGAAGGCAGACCCTTAACCAACTGAGCCACCCAGGCGCCCCGATGCTTAAATTATTCTTAGTGACATAGTTCCTGGGTCATCAAGCCATGTGGATGGTGGGGGGGAGGTTGCAGGGTGGGTGCACACCAGTTCACAACTGCTCAGTTCACATCAGACATCCCACTATCATAGCCAAGCCTTGCCCTCCTGGTAAGACCCTTCACTGCTTGATTCTGGCGCTGGATATGTGCAGGCAGGGAAGGTAGCTCCAAACACGCCTCATGGGTCCAGGCCTAGCGCTTGGGGGAAAAGGGATGAGACAGATGGCAGGAGGACAAAAGGGCTTGAGGGGCGGTAGACATGCCAATAGGTATCCAAAGGGAGAAAGTCTGGTGGGGGGTGTTGAACAGTGACAGTGATAGATTCCAGAGCAAAGATGGGGGCAGGGGTCCCAGGGGGCTAATTCTAGCCTGAGGATCAGAGGAGGCCTCCCTGAGGGTGACACTTGAACTGGGATCTTCTAGAAGGCCAGCAAGGGTGAAGCCAAAAAATGTCCAGGCCATGGTGCAAAGGCCTGAAGGTGTGTGGGAGAAGGGGACAGCCCTCAGTGAGCCCATACATACTCCACCTCCAGCTTACCCCCAGGGACCCAGACCTGTTCTGGGGTCCCCCACCCTGCCCCCCAGGAAGACCCTGGTGAGGGGGCAGAGGGGAGGTGGGGCACCTTTCCTGGGGGCTGCAGGTGGGGGAGGGCCTGAACCCTGAAGGGCAGGAAAGGCCACATTCCTGAAGAGGAGGAATGTCTTTGATCCCAAGACCTTGCTCAGGGCACCAGGCTCCCTCTTCCAGGTATCTTTCCCAGCATTCTTGAGGGAGACTCAGAGTTACGGGGCAAGGTCCTGGGAAGAGGCGGTCCTGGACTCCTGCTGTCTGACCAAGGGCTAGTTCCTGCTGTGCTCTGTAAGTCAGAGTGTTCTGTGTCCCCCCCCACCCCGCCTTGCACGCATGTGCACACACATGCACAGGCACCCGGGGCATCCCTGCTATGATCCATTTTATGCCTTGTGTCTAGCTGTTCAAGACTGGAGGCAGGGCTTCCATGTAAAAACCAAGGCTTTGGGGTGCTCCTCCAAGCTGAGTGATGGGGGCCAGGGCCCCGCCAGCAGCTCCTACAGCCATGCTAATTCTCTTCCATTCCTTTGCTCCCACTGTCACCTTCTCGTGTGCCTCCTTCCTCCTGGACTCATCTGAACTCTGTCCCTTCTTAACACCCCTGCCGGAGGATGCCCCCACCTCCTGCGGAGTTTCTCCCACATCCTCACAGGTCTCTCCTCTAGCCTGTACGGACCCCCTGGAGGAGTCCTGAAGGGGAGACAAGGGAGACACTACGAGCTGATGGAAGGGGTGGCAGGGCCTCCCTCCTCTGTCCAGGAAGGTGCTTTCTCCTACGGCGGGGACAGGGACTGCGGGGACACAGTGGAGGCTCCCATTTCCCACTAGTGAGAACAGCGACCAATTCCTCATCAGGCACTGCTGTCCCCAAAGCTCCAGCCAGCCCTCAACAAGCCCGCTGAGGAATGATTCATCAGCCAGCAGGTCCCCTCCAGTGTGGTCTGCTCAGGCTTCCTTTTCGAGTGCTGCCTCCGTCCCTGACAACCAGCACCCGGACTGCCAGCCAAGGGCCTGACCTCCGAGGAGTACTCTCATAGCTGGAATAGATCTGTGATGGGCTTGCTGGGCTCTGTCCAGGCAAGGTGGCTGTGTGCCGCCCAGCCTCGGGCAGAGTGGGAGATTGAAACCCCAAGGAAGCAGAGGCACTCCGCCCGCGGGGAACGGACGCAGCGGACTGCAGGGCCCAGCGGTTAGCTCCCTCCCAGGGCAGATGACACTGGCTCCGTAGGGAAAGAGCGGCAGCCCGTGCGCACGCGCACCGCTGGAGTCGAGCCGCTTTGTTCCAGCGCTACCTGCAGCTCCATTCACCTCCTCCGCCCCGCCCGCCTGCGAGCCGATACACGGCGCTCGCGGAGACCCCGCCCACTTCCCCGCGCTGGGTGGAACCGGTGACGAGCCCCGCCTCCCTCCCCAACCTTCTCCTTCAGTCACGATTGGCCATCTGCGCGACACCCTCCCGCCTACCGCGAAAGTTGGTTGGTGCATTGGGAAGGAGGTTGGAGAGGGAGAGCTGATGGTAAAGGAGAGTTCCCCGCCCACCCGCCCCCGAGAGAAAGTCACGTGGCGCTTCACTCGGAGCCTGTCACCTCCCCGCCTGTAAAGCTTTCTTAAAGGGCTCGCTCTTCTTAGGGCTGGTCCTTTCCAGGATTTCTCCACTCCTGCCTGCGGAGTGTGGCGCGGCCCGGGGTCCTCCTATTCCTCCAGTCCCCTGTTTGCTGATTCCCCATCAGGCCTGCTAGGGTGGGACCCCCTTTCAGGTCTCGGAGCCTGTGGCCATCATAGGGACTAGGCAGTCGCCTGAAACGGTGACCTTATCCTAAGCACAGTGCCTGGCACGTAGTAGGCGTTCAGTTTCCATTTGTTGAATGAACTCTCTGAGAAAATGAATGAACGGGGTTGACAGACAGGAGGAGGGCATGTTGGCTCAGCGTGACCGCCCCCACCCACCGCCCTACCCCTGGGGAGACTGCTATACAGTGCAAGTGGGGAGGGGATGCCAGGCGCTGGACGCCCCTAGGGCAGCCCTTCACGGTAGGACTCAGTAGAGCTGGGAGCGCGGGCATAGGGGAAAGGTCTTGGCTGGGCACCCCAGGCGGGTCTTAGCCAGGTCCGGGTTGAGGTGGGGCGAGGGCCCGGGCGGGCGCACGTCTCGGGGCGCACGGGGCCGCGAGCGCGCTCTCGTCCTCCGTGGGGAGGGGCGGCGGAGGCGCGGCGCCTTTAAGCCCGGGCGCCGGCCCCCGCGGCCCCGCCCCCCGGAGGACGCCTCGGCGCGCGGCCGCCGGAGCCGCCGTTTAATTGGGGCTGTCAGGCCGCGGCGCGCGCGGAGGGCCGGGCGGGACGGAGGCCGGGAGGCCGGGACGGCGGGCGCGCAGCTCGGCGGGAGGCGGGCGCCCGGAGACGCGGCTGGGGCCCGCGCGGCCGGGGCGCCGTCCCAGGGCAGGGCTGCCCGGCCCCTGCCCCGGGCCGCCCGCGCTCCCCATGAAAAACCAGCTCCGCGGCCCCCCAGCGCGGGCGCACATGTCGGCCTCGGGGGCGTCGGCTGCTGGGGACACCGGGGCGGGGTCGGAGCCCGGTGCGGGGTCCGGGTCCGGCGCTAGCACCGGCGCGGGAGCGGCGACGGGTGCGGGGGCCATGCCCTGCAAGAGCGCCGAGTGGCTGCAGGAGGAGCTGGAGGCGCGCGGCGGCGCGTCCCTGCTGCTGCTCGACTGCCGGCCGCACGAGCTCTTCGAGTCGTCGCACATCGAGACGGCCATCAACCTGGCCATCCCGGGCCTCATGCTGCGCCGCCTGCGCAAGGGCAACCTGCCCATCCGCTCCATCATCCCCAACCACGCCGACAAGGAGCGCTTCGCCACGCGCTGCAAGGCGGCCACCGTGCTGCTCTACGACGAGGCCACGGCCGAGTGGCAGCCCGAGCCCGGCGCTCCCGCCTCGGTGCTTGGCCTGCTCCTGCAAAAGCTACGCGACGACGGCTGCCAGGCCTACTACCTCCAAGGTGAGGGCAGCACTGAGACCCCCGTCCGGCACTGCGGCTAGCCCGCGGCTCCCTGACGCCCCCGCCGGAGGCTGCTTTCTTTCCGTGCGCTCCGCTGGCCCGGCCGGCGCCACGTCGCCCCCGGCTCGCATCCGCCTCGACCGGGAGCTCGGCCCCCGAGATGCGGGTTTAGGCCGGCGCGGGGGTCCCCTCTGCACCCCGTTCTCGGCACGATTCGAGTGGGCCGAACAAACTTTTCCCGGTCTGGGCTGTCTTTTTTTTTTTTTTTTTTTCCTTCTCTTCCTCTTGTTGGGGTCATGGCAGCGCCTAGGCTCCTGCTGAGCCCCTCAGAGGAGGAAGGGGCCGCCTCCTGGGACCCCAAAGACGACAGGGCACCCAGGTCCAGCTGCTCCAGCCTAGAATGCGTGTCCCTGGGAGACTAGGGTGAGGATATAGGAGCCTTTGGCAGCATTATCCCCGCCCCCAAGGTACAGGGACCGTTTGGGTTGGGGGACTCTGGGCATCTCAGCCTTGGCCTCACTACTTGGGGATCACAGCCTGTTGGAGGCACTTGGGGCAGGACTATAAGCAGTGTCCCCTGCCCTGGCTTTCCGGGACCCCCAAGTCCCAGCCTACTGACCTAAAGCTTGTGGAAGGGGGAGGCAGCTGGGGGGCGAGTGGTTGCAGCCGGTGTTTCCAATTAACATTCCAAAATGGCCTCTCGCTGGCAGCCGGCGGGCGGGCAGGGAGGGGAGGGGAGGCCTGCGGCACCCTCGGGCGCAGGGCCCATGCCTAGCTGCAAGGCGCTCCCCATTTCTTGTCTCTCTAAAGCCCCAGCAGCCCTCCCCGTCTGTGTTCCCTAGGCTGGGGGTCTTGAGTTCTAAGGGGGAGAGGTGGAGTTGGGACCCCTTTTATGAACTTGCCACTGTGGGAGGAAAGAGCCAACCAGTACTTTCACACTGCCCTCCCTGCCTGTGGTTGGGGGTGGGGGGCAAGGACTGGACTCCCAGTCAGGAGGCCCAGGCCCTCTGGGCCTCTAACTGACCTAGACACAGCTCTGGCCCCTGCAGTCTCATCTGTAAGAGGGGTTCGCACACCCACAGGTACTGGCCTGAGATGGGGTTGTCTGCTTTCCTCCACCACTTAGCAGTTATTGAGCACCCATGGGTGCCAGGTGTGCATGGGGGCTGTGGAAGAGAAATGAGCTGGGGCCTGGCCTTAAGTGCCTAAAGCTGCTGGTGTGGCTGGGGCCCTGAAGCCTTGTGGGTCAGGGTATGGCGCTCAGGCACGTTACTTCACCTCCCGGGGCCTCAGTTTCCCATTCTGTAGGGTGGGTCATGGGAGAGAGATGTAGAGAACACAGGAGCAGGTACACGTGTAACATACTCGGCAGGGCCCACGTTGGCTGTTGTTGGTGTTACAGTGCTTGATGTGGGCAGCGCCGGCTATCACTGGTCTCGTGCAGCCCATTGGTCTGGGGACATTGGCCAGTAGCATGGGCAGTCTCTCACCCAGGCCCTCTTACCCTGGCCACAGGTGGTTTCAACAAGTTCCAGACAGAGTATTCAGAGCATTGCGAGACCAACGTGGACAGCTCGTCCTCACCAAGTGGCTCACCACCCACCTCAGTGCTGGGCCTGGGGGGCCTGCGGATCAGCTCTGACTGCTCAGATGGGGAGTCAGACCGAGAGCTGCCCAGCAGTGCCACTGAGTCGGACGGCAGCCCTGTGCCATCCAGCCAACCAGCCTTCCCCGTCCAGATCCTGCCCTACCTCTACCTCGGCTGCGCCAAGGACTCCACTAACCTGGACGTGCTCGGCAAGTACGGCATCAAGTATATCCTCAATGTCACGCCTAACCTGCCCAACGCCTTTGAGCACGGTGGCGAGTTCACCTATAAGCAGATCCCCATCTCTGACCACTGGAGCCAGAACCTCTCCCAGTTCTTCCCCGAGGCCATCAGCTTCATTGGTAGGTGCTGCTGTGCTCTGGGCGGGGTGGGTGGGCAGGTGCGTCGAGGCGTGTATGGGACTTGGGTGTCACTGGCGCCTGACTGGGTACCTCTGGGCCTGTCGAAGCCTGTGTGTGCCCTGCGTGTACCAGCATGTGCCCGTGGCCAAACCCATGCCTGCTGTGAGTCACCAAGGCCCTCAGGACCCGAGCGGTCCCCTGAGCCCTGGACTCCCCAACTGTTGGCACCCCACGGACTCTACTGTCCAGCCTGTGTTTTTCTGGCTCTGCTGTTTTGGGCTCAGCAAGCTGAAACATCACGGCTCTTAGACCTCCCACAGGTCTTGCTTGCTCTGCATCCTGCCTCGGCACACATGTTTTCCAGGAGGGGGCTGCCACCGTGCCTCTTTGGGCTTTATTTTGTACCTGAGGGGGCTGAAGGGTGGCCCTGGAGCCAAAGGCCGACCCCGAATGGGCAGCTATTGGAATGTGGTGAGCCAGAGTGACTTGGTAGGGCCCTAGATGCTCCCGGCAGCCTTGTGGGGCTTGCGTGGAGTATAGGAGGCCTCCCCCAGAGCAGTATGTTCTGCTGTTCGGCTCAGAGCCCTCAGCCCCCGACATCCCCAGCTGACTCAAGCTCCACGAGTTGCCTTATCTTTGACCTCCCCATCCTGCTTCCTCTGTGGTCAGCTGGAAGCTGTTAGACTGTAGGTCATCTTCCTGGACACAGCTCTTACCCCAGGGTGCAGGGAAGGGATACAAGATCAGGGTGAATGTAAACCCTTGGCTCTCTGAGCCTGGTGACCCTGTGTTTCTGCCCAGCCTCCAGTGGCAGAGAGGAGGTGGCCTGGGCAGTCCTCTCCTGCTGGCAGGCCGTGTCCAGTGGAGGGCGTTTTGGTGTCAGCTGGGCCGGGCTAGCTTTAATAACAGGAAGTGGGAGGCTTCCCCGCCTCATCCGCTTACTGGGAACCAAAACTAGGTGCCTGGCTGGGAGGAAGGAAGGAAGCTGAGGCCTGGGGGAGGGGCTGTGACCAGGGCTGTCGGGAGCTTCCCAGCTCTGCCCGGGAGGACAAGGCCAGGAGGTCTCTGGGTCCTGCCTGAGCATTCACTCTCTCCCCCCAACAAGAGAGGGGAGCAGAGAGGGGGATCCCAGGCTCCCAGGGCTGAGTCTGGCTCATGGGTGCCTTTATCCTTTTTGAAGGCCCCTCTGCATCTGGGGAGGGGGACAGAACAGGGTGTAGGGGTTGGGGGGAGACAAGTGAAGGAATAGAGGCCCAAGCATCCCCTAGGACTCAGTGGGACAGGATCAAGCCCCAGCCCCTGCGCTGCTCAGCCACACCCTGAGAAAGCTAAAAATAAAGCCAGCGGAAGCAGTTTCACTTTGGATCACCCGGGAGTGGGTTTGGGGGCCAGGTGTTCCCCATACCCTGATGTGTCACCACTGGAGGCTCATCTCCACCACCCCGTTAGCCCCAAGCCTCAAGGTCAGACCGCACGACTCTGCACCAAGCTGCGGCTACTCTCTCTTCCCCTGCTAGTCTTGCCTCCAGGCAGTCCCTGGATCTGGATTAAGTACCTACTCCATGCTTAGCCCTGGGCACCCTCACGGGGGTGAGTAGGGAAGCTCTGCCAGGCCCGAGGGAATGAGCACCGGAGACGGAACAACTTGTGAACCTGTGCGTCATCTTGTGGGAGTACACTGATTGAGCGCCAGCTGTGTGCCTGGCTCCCAGTGGGCTCAGAATCAGAGAGGTGGGCACCTTGAGGGCCCCAGAGAGCTGCCTCTTGTTAACGTCCGTCCTGGGCACAGCTGTGGCACAGAGAGACGGTGGCCCCGCGCCCAGGGGAGGAGCGCTTACGGGGCCAATTGTTCAGTGGCTCAGCCATGTTTATTGAGCTCCTACTGTGTGCAGGCCAAGGAGCCTGGGAGTGGCATTGGGGGAGGCTGGGACGGTTGGCAGAACCTGGTTGGCGGTGGTGGGAGATGTCACTGGTGCATGGGCCTGCCGGGGGAAGTCTAGTAAGCGAGGGGGGGGCCACCTAAGCAAGCCTCCCTTGCGAAATCTCAGGTGTGGCCTTCCTCCCAGTCCCTGGCTGTTGAGTAAAGCTAAGGGGCGGGGGACGGGGCAGAGCTGGCTGTAGGGCCAGGCCCCCCATTCCCTTTTAAGGGCTCCCCTCAGGCCTGTTTCCCAGGAGGCCCTCGGGGGGTCCCCACGGGAGCCGCACCAGGAGAACGAGCTAAGTCCCCCCGGCCAGGTCGTGGGCTGACAGTGGTGTGTGCTAGGAGTTCGGAGGAGCCTCTCTGTGGCCTTGGGCTTGTCACTCTGTCTTTGCGTCTGTGACCTCATTTATAAAATGAACTTGCTGACCATGGTGCAGATGGCCTGAGAGGACACGGGTGACACCCTCAGCACAGGCTGGGCATTCGGCTGTCGCGGCAGCGGGCCGAGCAGTGACTGTTAGCCATCACTGGTGCCAAGGTCTGGAGAGCCCTCTCTTGGCTCGGGTCCTTATAAGAGTGCTGTGAACATGGGGGCCCATTTTATGGATGAGGAGACCGAGGCACAGGGACGCCCCGTGACCTGAAGCTAACGCGTGGCAGAGCCCTCTCCACAGTCAGGCTCTTGCCTCCACCCCCAGTGGCCATGCCACCTGTGTGGGCCTTCACCAGGTCCCCCAAGAGTCGGGCAGCACCAGCCAGTGACCCTGCCGCCCTGTGTGCCCCAGCCCCACCTCTGGCTCCGTGGAGGAGGCGCCCTCCTGACCCATGCCTGTGTGTTTCAGACGAGGCCCGCTCCAAGAAGTGTGGTGTCCTGGTGCACTGCCTGGCAGGGATCAGCCGCTCGGTGACGGTCACTGTGGCCTACCTGATGCAGAAGATGAACCTGTCGCTCAATGACGCCTACGACTTCGTCAAGAGGAAAAAGTCCAACATCTCGCCCAACTTCAACTTTATGGGGCAGCTGCTGGATTTCGAGCGGACGCTGGGGCTGAGCAGCCCGTGTGACAACCACGCCCCCAGTGAGCAGCTCTACTTCTCCACGCCCGCCAACCACAACCTGTTCCCGCTCAACACCCTTGAGTCCACGTGAGGCTGGGGCACAGGTGGCGGGAGCCGGCCCCTCCCGACCACCCCACCCCCCACCCCCTACCCCCCACCCCCGCCCCGGGCCAGGTGGGCAGCCCACTCCTGCTATGTCCAGCCGGAACCCAGACAGCCTCGGACATGGCCGGTGCCTGGAGGCCCCGGGTGGGCAGGCGGCCGAGCTGCCCTCGCTGCCCTCACTGCCCTGGGGCGGGCGGACCCCACAGCAGGGCCTCCCTCTGCAGGACTTTCTGGAGAGGCCCTGAGCTCTGGGACACATGGCCTCGGGAGGCCAGCAGGGTCTCATCCTTGTCCCAGGACACTCCATCAGCAGATGGGCCAGCCAGTTTGGCTGTTTTTTAAAGACACTTCCACGGACCTGAGTTTACTTTTTACTTTTGGCAGGTGAATCCAAGCTCCCTGGAGCACGGCAAGTGTTCAAGCTCTTCTTGATTTTTCTTTTTTAATGAAAAGTGTTATTATCAGGCTACATGCAACAGTGGATTGTATAAACCAGTATTTCATCCCTTCCTTGATCCTCTGAGAGAGAAAGAGAAGTGTTCTCAGTTTTATTTTTCTTCCTATTTCAAAAAGCAATTATTGGTTTTTTGGTTTTTGTTTTTAATGGAAAAGACAAACCCCGTGTTGATCTTGACCAAATGCATTTTGCACATGTGTGAAGCCTCCCATTTCTGCAGCAGTAGGCCCTTCTCGAAGGGGTGGCTTGCTGCTCCCTTGGCGTCAGACCCCCCCCCAGTCGTGCCCACGTCTCTTGGCCCAGCCCCCATGGCACTGCACTTGCCCGTGACGACCTCTGCAAGTCGTGATGGGTGGGCTGCCGGGTGGCCTTTGCATTCTCGGCCCTCCGGCAGCCCCTGCAGACTCCCGGAGGCAGGAGATGGGAGGCCATGCGGCAGGCCGGCTGGAGGTCGGGCTGCAGGGGACTGTCAAGCAGTAGCATTAGCCCTTTGGGCTCAGCCCGTGGGAGGGTCTGAGCCCGGGCCCTCTCTGTAGTACCCACTACTTCTGTCTGTCGCTCTCTCTCTCTCTCCCTCCCGCCGCCCCCCCCCCCCCCCCCCCCCCCCCCCCCCCCCGCCGCCCCCGCCGTTTGTTTGTGACTGAGAGTGGAGGCCTAGCGGCTGGGGGAAGCCTAGGTGGTGGAGGCCCAGCCCCGCCTCCTAGTTTCTGTCCCTCACCCTGGCTGTTGCTTCGGTCCAGCTGCCACCCTGTGTCCCGTGGAAGCTGGCCCTGCGCTCATCTTGCCCATGCCTTCTACTACCAGGAAACTCGCACCCGTCTCAATCCCAGGGCAGGGGCGGAAGGGGCGAGGATGGACAAGAGAAAGGGGCGTGGGGCTCTGTCCACCCCCCTCCCAGGATCCACAGAACAAAGCCACGGATTCCGTTACCCTCCTCCAGTTTTGTTCCTTCTCCAGCCTCAGTCCCACCAGGTGTCATGACTGCACAGGGGCCCAGGGAGAGGTGAGTGGTCAGGCCGGGGTCCCTGAGCGAGTCCGCACTTGGCATGCGAGCGAGGCCATGGAAACTCTGCCCCACCGCGTCTTACCTCACGGGGCGGTTTTCAGGGATTCTTAAAGGCAGCAGATTAAAATCTTGCCACAGTCGAGAAATTGACAAAAAGCTTCCATGCCGTACATGGTTCTTTCTCTTTTTTTTTACTTTTAAAAAGAAAAACCCAGAAAGATGCATCAGATTTGTGTAAATGAGAGTATGCCAAGAGGGTGGCCAGTTTTGCTTTATGATCTTATGAAGGAAAATTTGTGACCCTACATATATATACACACACACATACATATATATATCCCGAACCAGCAACGGGACTTTGTTTATATTGCAAATAAATATTATTTTTTCTTTAAAACAAGTTGTGGTGTCCAGTAAGGGCCTGGGCCAGCCAGGGGGGAGTTTGGGGGTGGGAGGCGTCCCAGCGCCGGTCCTGTGTGAAGGCAGCTAAGCCAGGAGGAGGAGAGGCGGGGCCTGGCGGGAAGGGAGCTGAGGTGTGGCATTGCCCCAGCCTTTGGGCACTGCAGGCAGGGGTCTCAGGACTTTGGGGGTTTTTGCTGGTTGGTTGGCAGGAGATGGAAGCTTGGAGAGGTTTCGTGGACCAAGGTCACACAGCTGAGCCCCTGCTCACCCTGAATGGCTCAGGGCTGTCCACTCGGGCATTGGCCAGATTTGCCCCTGGGGCCCTGACCTTTCCTCTTGCTGCTCTTGTGGGTGGAATAGGGGGTGTGCACTTATCACCTCATCCTCCCAACTCCCACCCTTGCCAACCCCCACAGTCCCTGGGAAGTTAGCGGGATGTGAAACCCAGCTGGTGATGGGTCAGCCCTGCTTTGCTCCTTAGGAGCTGGGCGGCCTCCCTAAGCCTCCGTTTCCATCTCTAAAGTGGAACCAATGACACCCAGATACCCAGTGCTTTTTGTGTTTGGGGCACAATGGCATGTTCTACTTGTTTCCTGTTCTGGGCCTACACGGGGGCCCTGGGGTCCATGCCTGTCTTCTCCAGAGCAAGTGAGTGCCCACCCACCATGCGGAGCGCCCCGCTGGGTGGAACGGGGCTCCAGAGCGGGGAACGGAGGCTCAGGAGGGGTTTCTGTTTCCTTTGCCGCCGGCTGGATTGAGTGAGCCCCAGTCAGGGACCAGGTGCTGACTCAGTTTTCTCATCTCTGCCTTTCATCTAGCTTTACTCCTTGCGCCATGACCACACTGCGCTGGCCACCAGTAGGTAGCTGTGGTGGGTAAGGGCAACCCGGCCCCTTTCCAAAGACTCCCAGCTGGGCTGTCCAGACTCTACTTCTTGGTCCCTGCCCCGTCTCTGCCCAGGAGTTCCGTTCAACCGGAGCACAGTGATGCCTTCAGGCATAATGATGAGGCGTAGAGGGCAGGTCCTTCAAGCAGAGGGACCTCGGTTCTGATCCCAGACGTGTGGCTACCAGCTCCTCGCCCCCTCAGCTTGCCCATCTTTAGAATGGGAGAACGCTTGTGCAGCCGGCAGGCCCGTGGAAGGGGGAAGGGGGAAGGGGGCTTCCCACAGCCTTGGCGAAGGGGCGGGTGCTGCTTTTGCACTTGGGCTCCCTCTGGGCCCTGGTCCTTCTGTGCCAGGGGCAGGCAAGGGGGTGGGGGCCTGCGCAGGCAGAGACTGGGCCTTTGTTCCCTCTTGCTGCCCTTGGCCGGGGCTGGGGAAGCCCGCGGGGGCCGGGCTGGGGGCTGGGCCCTCGACAGGCCGAATGAGCGCCTGGCAGTACCAGCATGCCCAAGCACAGGCTGGGGCGTGGGAGCAACATTGCCTCCTGAGCCAGCTCCTCGAATGGAGGACGAGGGGGCTTGACCTCCTGTGCAACCTCAGGCCAGGCGGCCTCGCTGACCCTCCGTGTCCTCATCTGAGGAAGTTCACACCTCAGCACCATGCCTGGCTGCGGGTTCCCTTCAGCTTCTCTCTGGTGGGGATGGAGGACCGGGTCATGGCCGGGCGGCTGGGACTCTGGGTCCTCACTCTGTGACTTTGGGCTGGGCCATGCTTACTCTGGGTCGCTGCCTCTACCCCGGCTCCCAGGTTCCCACCTCATGGCCCACTCTGAGCTCCTGTTACTCCACCTTGTTTCTGCTGTGTTCTTCCGCCGCGGGCTCTGGCTGACCCAGGCCATCTCTGGCTGAAGCCCTTGATGCCGGGGCCCCTGAGCTCCAGGACACGGGCTCTCTGAGGCGGCTCTGTTTAGGCCATGTGCTCTCGGTCCCATCTCTCCTCCTGACCCCCTCTTTGCCTCCCTTTGGATTCCTGTTCCTGTCTCTGTCTCAGCCCAGGCCCCAGGAGCGCCCCCACCCTCCCCGTCTTAGCCACTTCCCAGCCTTCTCATGGGAGGAAGATCTGAGCCACTCACTCACGGGCACATTCATCCAGCAGCCATTTCCTGTGTCGGCTGGGATGCCCCAGGAGTGGGAACGTGCCTGAGGGAAGTTTGGTGATGTCAGGCTGGGTGGCGGGATAATGGGGCCCTCAGCTTGTCCTCTGATAAATTAATCAGGCGCAACAGCAAGAGTGACTAAGGCTGGACACGAGAAAGAACTTGCAGCACTATGGAGCAGTGCCCCTGCAGGGCGTCTGACAAGTTGACCGCAAAAGAGATGAACATTTTTCTAGGGTAGTCCGGCTCTGAGCTTGGGGGAGGGGCAGGCAGCACTCAGGAGGGGGGCTGCCCGCCCCACCCCCCTACCCAGGGCCTCTCCCCAGGGTGCGAACACAGTCATCCCTCCTGAATGGGGCAGGGTGGAGGTGTGCAGCGAACCCGTGCTGGGACCTGCCCCTCCCCTACCACCACCGCTGCCTGGCATACTCAGGCCTGCCTCCAAACACCAGGTCTACATTGGGCTGTCTTCCGCGTCAGTCTGGATGTGGCCAGGACACCAGCACCCACACCAAACTCTTACCAGGAGCTGGAAAGCCTGATGTGGGAGCCAGGTGTCCCTGGAGCCTGGGCATCCCAGGAGCCTGGGTCCTGATCTTTGATCTATTCCCCCTGCTTGTTCTGGACCCCACCTGAGCACAGCCCCCTCACCTCCTCCCAGAGTTCTTCTGGGATTGGTCCCATCGGACTCCTGATACCCAGCAGACCTGAGAGCCTGGAGACGGTTCAGAATTGACCCCAACCCCACGCAGATAGGGAAAGCGAGGCTCAGATGGGGTCATAGAGTGAGTCAGGGAAGAAGCTAGGCCTCCCCATGCTGCTGCCCTGAGTCTTTTCACCCAGGTCCGGCCTCCCCAGTCGGGCTGGGAGCCTTCTCTATCCGGCCCTGTGAAGGACCGGGGACATATGCATGCGTGCACGTGCACGCACGTACACACACACACACACACACACACACGGCCCCCTCATTTCTCAGACAGGACAAGCCCAAGCAGGTCCCATAGTGATGGAGGAGCCGTCTGCCTCTCACTCCAGCCTCCTCTCATTAAGGGCGCGGGCGGGGTGAGGTCATCCCTTCCCAGGCACGGCCATTAAAGACTGTCATTAGCAACTCTCAAGTAGTAAGGTGAGGCCTCAGCCCCACCGTCTCTGGCTGGGTCGGATTAGCCTCCACAGGCGACGTGGGACACCAGTGTCTGCTGGAACACCCTTGGCTCAGGCAGCCAACCCCTTTCCCCAGGGCTGCCCCATCACACACCTCCAGGGGCGTCAGCTACCTTGTGGCTTCTGTGCATCTGTAGGATCTCCATCAGCCCTTCCATACCCACACCTCCTCTGGCTCCAGGGTCCTTCCACCCCTGCTGCAGGCAAAGGAGAAGCCGCAGCTCCTTCTCCAGGGCTGGATGGGCCGGGGAGGACCAGGTGTGGTCCAGAGAACCGGGGAGCCCCTAACGAGCTTTAAGCCTAAGCCTGATAGGGTCTGGTTGTCACTAGAAAGATCCCCTAGCTACTAAGTGGAGAACAGCCTGAAGGGGAACGTGCAGGACAGGGGACAGTGAGGAGGCTGAGCTGGCCACTCAGGGTGGTGGGGCGCTGGACCACTGTAGACAAGGAGAGGGTGAGCCTCACCTGCAGAACGAGCAGTGTGGGAGGCAGCTCATGGAAGGCAGGACCCGTTGTGTGGACAGAGGTCCCAGCCTGTCTGACTCCACGTCCATGGCCTGAATGGCAGCCGCCATGTCACGTCAAAGGATGGGTCTTAGCCAGGACAAGCGTGGGTCCACGGTGGAACCCTGGCCACGGGGGTCTGAGTTCCCACTCACCTGCCCCCACCCCTCAACGTGTACCCACACATTGAACACCCAGAGAGAGGCAGGGGTCACCAAGGTCCCGCTTCCTACTGAAGACTTTTCTGGGACAGCACAGC